AGCCACATATAGGAGAAGGTCATAAAAAAATCGAGTTATAGTAATATTCGAGTTATCGTACTTCGAGTTATAGCGAATTGACTGTACTATTGTATGTAATAGTCCAGGTACAGTATAATCTCGATATCTCAAAGTTGAAGAGATGCTAAAAACATTTCAAGATTACAAGTTCGGAATTTAATATGTTATAAGAAAGTGGAAAAAAATATTCTATAATATGATTCTAAAAAGTAGAGTCGTGAAACATAGAATAACTTCTAATATATATGTATACAATGATAGCTGATATGAATGATAGTCTAAATATGAATGATGAATGATAGTCTAAATATAAAAATGACAGTGTTTATTTTTAAATGTAAGATAAAAATAATTATGCATTAAATTGAAAAGAATTAGTTTACAATTAACTTACATTGTGATTTTGCAGATAAAATTCATTTTCTATTTAGTAAAATATTCCACATATCAAGATTTTGAGAAGAAACTCTTCTATATAGGCATTCAAATTAACATTAGGTTGATTTATAATGAAGAGTATTTTTTTTGACGTAACAAGGTTTTCAAGATATCTAGAGTGTACTGTATTTAATTTTTCTCAGAAAAGGGTTACTGGTAAAAATGTGTGGGTTAATATGTCATAAATCAGCGTTCCGTCTAAACTGCATCACTGTGTAGTTGTGCATAAAATTTTTACAAATTCTCAAACGCTTGAAATCCATGCACAACTTTTTTTTAGCATTAAAAGCGTTATGTTATTTATGATTTTTTAATAAAACCAAAAATTCTGCTAACAAAATTGACTTAACTACTTGAAGGTATTTGCCAATAATATACAGTGTTTCCAGGTGTATTGCATTTTAATCGTTATCAAAAATGCTGTATATTTTTTAGGTTGTTAAAAAAAGTTTCAAAATAAACAGGAAAATTAAATTAACGCATTATAAAATAGTTATCATATAAAAGTTATGAAAGTAAACATGTGATATGCCCTATTCCTTTTTATCTTCTATTTTAAAACTTTCGATATTGGTTCATTAAACTTTTAAGTTTGTAGTTGAGCTCTTAAGTTTATTAATCCTTTGAGGAAGGAAAGGAAATGTATGATCAATTTTATTTATATTTGACCACAATTTTTTCGTTAAAAATTTAAAATTATGAAAATGGAAAAAATCAAGTAATCTTTACTGCAAAATATTTTTTTAAAAAAATTAATTGCTAATTTATTTTTGTTTGAAAAGTTTTTAAATAAATAAACTGCTAACTTATCTTTGTTTGAAAAGTATTTTGTTTGAGAAGTTTTTTAAAAAATGAGTTGTTTTTGTTTAAAAAGAAGTTCTGCACTTAATTTTTTTGTTACCAGTACAGCTCAAAAAAATTAGAAAAAACATTAGCCACTGCTAAACCTAGTTTCAGAATGGTCGCAGAACGGAGAATTTTATCAGTCGAGAGAAATTAGGAAAATGTCATAGAGTTTAATTAAAAATACCCAAAAAAAATCAAGAAAAATCTATTAAGGTATCTAAAAGTGTTTTGGACGTATTTTAAGTATGAGATGATATGCTTTCCATTTCAGGGTCCTTCATTTCAGATCTACCTATTTCCATTTTCTCGTTGCGACTATAATTAATAATTAATTTATTACGGTTATTGCCTAATTTTTTACTTATTTTTTCATTGTTATAGGACAAAGAGAATATTCCAGATGAGGACCCAGATTTAGGCTTGCTGAAGACCAAGATGTCTGGCTTAGGAGGATATTCTGCTCCCTTGAAAGATTCTGGAAATGTTGCTGTGACTTTGACTCTAACTTCTGCAGCAGCAGAAGACATCTGTGGAGTGTTATCTGCTCTTGCTGACCTATTGAAAATTCCTATACCTGCATCTTACGAAATTGTTGAAAGAACCGCAACACCACCTAGTCAGAAACTTGGCTTGTATCGTAGATGTGAGTTTCATATTTCATTTAATATTGATTACTTTATATATGGCTGTAATAGTAAATTTGGAAAATTTAGGTAATTAGGAACGTTCTTCTAATTGTAATTGTTATCATTTATTGTACAGTACAGAACCCGTTATCCGGAAATCAGAAAACCGGAAAACCAAAAACTTTTCTCGCCATTTAAAAAAAAAAAAAACAAATTTTTTTCCTCATAAAATTTTACGATTTTTCTTTCTTTTTTTAAGGATGTTTACCTTACCATCATTTTGGAAATAATCATTAGTGAACTACTAATTAATTCATCGTTTTTTCTTATTTTTAAGATTATTTCCAAATTTTTTTTTAGTTGGGTTTAACAATAAAAAAACGGCTTTTTGTAGCAATTCAGAAATCCGGAAAAATCAGTTATCCGGAATAGCGATGGTCCCGACCGTTCCGGATAATCGGTTCCCTACTGTATTAAATTGTTAGTTATGTAAATTAGTACAATAATTTATTTTAAACAGTACAATAAATTATTTTATTTATTTTGTTAAAATAAACTTTATTGCTTATTAAAAAAAGTAGAATTTCCAGCATTTGCAACATTGGTTTACTATGAAATAAAAAGTATTCCTTCCATACAGAAAATTGTTGTATTTAGGTAACAAAAATATTCTCCTGAATTTTCGTTAAAATTTTTTTTATATAGCTAGGAAATCTCTGAGAATTCTTATTTTTTTAATAAAAGAATAAGTTGAATGAAAAACGTATTCATTTATTTTTCTGATTTTCTTTTAAAATAATTTATTTAATTATATATATTACATACATTATATGCAAAGTTTATTCTTACCAAATCTATTGTCACCACATGCCTCTTCTACATTACAGCTTTGGCTTATTTTTCTTCTTCATTATGCACCAATACTACTTAAAAATGACCCTTTTTATACAAACATTTTTTGTTCATTTTTGATTTTAATTATGTTTTAAAATTTATTCGTGACCAAATATAGGAGTGTATTTATGAAAACCTTAGGCTTTTGTTTCTAAACAATTGTACTAACCTTATTGTGGGTTGACATCTGCCAATATTTATCTGTTTTACAAGTATTTAACTTGCATTTTTATGTAGAAAACATTTATGTTGAAAAGTGATGTGTGTGTCACTGAAATTTTGAAATTTTTGAAGAAAAATGCTATTGAAATAATAATTGGCTAAAGAATTATAAGTATTTTAAATATAAAATTTAATATTTTCATTTGGACTCTTTTTATTTTTTGAAATTTTTTTTAGATCATTATAATTATGTAATTTAAAATAAAAAAGAATGATTTTCATGTCACCATTATTTTTCTTCATTTACAGCTAAAAATTCTGAAGTGAGCATTCATTCATTATTAAATGGGAAACCCCGGTTTTGTCGGCATTGCGACATTGTTGTTTTGAGTGCTGGCATAAGAAAAAAGGCATCAGATCTGGCTTGTATGTCAAAAGAAGAACAGGTACTGTTATCTATTTTAACATTTTTTAAAATTCAAGAACAGCAATAGTCTAACTGTTTATAATTGGTCCAAACATATTTTTTGGAAGTCTATAAAAAAGATTTTTGTTATTTATAACAATTATTTTTTTTATTTACGTTAAAAATAAAATCCAATATTTTTTAATTTTTATACGACCAGAATTTTTGGAAGACATTTTTTTCTATCCAATAAATACTCAAATATGGAATGCAGAGAATTCTGACACTAAATTATAAGAACAAATAGTTAGAGTTGGGAAAATTGAATCATCAATATTATTTGAATCAATAGAATCAGTTAATTTGGATCACTTCTGATGCAGAATACAAAACAAATAATAAAAATAGTAACATAGGACAACAAAATACATAAGTAGATAGCAGAGTAAATTTTAACACAATGGGAGAACTCAGGAAAATACAGCTCCTTCTGAAACATATATTCTATTGACGATTGTGACACATGAATAAAGTACAAATGATTTGATGAAAAAACAAGGTAAAATGCTTACAGCTGCATGTCATCAAGTTCCATGCTGGAGCCCCGTGAGTTCTTGCAGAAAAGTTTTTCATTTGAAAAGGGAAAACTTTTGGTTTTCCTTTCTGCAGAATTTTTTTTTCTTCGAAGACCTCTTTCTNATTTTTTTTATTTACATTAAAAATAAAATCCAATATTTTTTAATTTTTATACGACCAGAATTTTTGGAAGACATTTTTTTCTATCCAATAAATACTCAGATATGGAATGCAGAGAATTCTGACACTAAATTATTAGAACAAATAGTTAGAGTTGGGAAAATTGAATCATCAATATTATTTGAATCAATGGAATCAGTTAATTTGGATCACTTCTGATGCAGAATACAAAACAAATAATAAAAATAGTAACATAGGACAAAAAAAACTATTGTTCAGGAAGAATGCATTAATGGCTGTTTTAGATAAATGTAATTGAATGTTTTATTATGGAAAATTCAGCAAAGTAAGAAAAACTTAAACTGAAGGTGGGCGAGTATGAACCTTTTTTACCCGACAACATCATTAGATTCATAAGTAGATAGCAGAGTGAATTTTAACACAATGGGAGAACTCAGGACAATACAGCTCCTTCTGAAACATATATTTATGTGACGCTTGTGACACATGAATAAAGTACAAATGATTTGATAAAAGAACAAGGTAAAATGCTTACAGCTGCACGGTCATCGAGTTCCATGCTGGGAGCCCCGTGAGTTCTTGCAGAAAAATTTTTCATTTGGAAAGGGAAAACTTTTGGTTTTCCTTTCTGCAGAATTTTTTTTTCTTCAAAGATCTCTTTCTTGTGCATCAGAGAGGAAAGAAAAAATCATGATTTTTCTATTGTCAATTGAGATTTTAAAAAAAGTCTGGCTTCAGCTAGAATTACAAATTAATAATATAAAATAAAAAAATGTAGAAATAACAAAAGTCTAAACAGTTCTCGCTAGAAATGATGTTCTTTCTTTGATTTTTTTTTCTTTAAAGAACATCATGTTTTACACTTATTTGAGTTTCTCTTTTCTAAAGAATCCTATTTGCATCATTTAAACGTTGATCTTTATTTTGGAGTTTCTGCGCAGATTTTGCAATTTTTAATTTATGTACGAATTTTTATTTATTATCATTTAATTTATTTATGAATTTTAATTTTAGTAATGATTTACAAAATTCGAATAAAGTAATAATTAGTGCTTTTTTCTGCCAACGAAATGGAAGAAAGTGCCTATAATATTAGAATAAAAAAATATTACTTTTACAATTAAAATTTTTTATTCATTTTTGTTCTATACTTTCTTCTGTAAACACAACGCTTCTGTTACTTTAAATTAGTAATTGTTGCACTTAAAAGTATCTTTAAAAAAATATTAATGCTAGGGAAGTTTGTTGCAGAAGGCTTGAAAAAATTCTGCCATAGGGTGCTGTAGCATGGACTCCTTTTCCAGAAAACTTACATTGCAGCTTTATCAAAACAAAAGGAGAGAGAGAACTCGATTAGCTCTCAGCCTTTGAACATCGAGATTCAGCATCATCGACCAATTTAGCCAGAATAAATTATCTTACTGAGCATCTTGTATAAATTATCTTACAAGTAGGTGAAGAATTGAGTAGTTACTGGCGTCTCTTGTTCAGAAAACATTGTCTCCAGAGCGTTTGTTACCAATCCCAATAAATGTTCGACATCAAACTTTTACCATGTCATCCCGTGACTTAACTAGAGATAAACAACAAACATAGATTTGGCTGATTTGAGGAATTATCGATTATATTTCCAACAAATATAAGTTTAATTAAGTTATAAATTTTTTACAAAAAACAGTTTAAAATTGACGAATTTTGTTTTCTTTCTCTATCTTATTTAAATGTGTATAAAATTTTTAAAATATGCACTAAAATTTTATTCAAAACGATAACAGTAAAAATTATATTGATTCATATTAAGCAAATGAATTTAATTTTTTATTCAGAAGTGTTTAGGTGGAACAATTATGCAAAAATTATTAAGTGTAGTTAGAAATAGTTTTGTTTGTATGATATATAATTGCATAATTGCTGTGATACTTTTGTGGCACATAAGACACTAGTTTTTAGAAGTTTTACTCGTTAATTCTGATTGTTGTGTTATATTTTAATAAAGGAAGAAGATGAAGTCATCTTTTGCAGTACAAACTGCTATATGCAGTTTGCATTGACTCACCGATCAACTGCAGTACTTGAAGAAAAAGTAAGTAATAGTGATAATTTTAAGCATGTATGAATTACTGTTTTGAATTTTTGAAGAAAAAAAATTTGAAAATAATTCTATTTATAATTAAAAAAATTTCTGTAAGTGCTATATTTTTGATAGTTACTTTTTTCTGTGATAAAGATAATTATCGTTTATATTATTTTTAAACATTCTTTGAATATTTGAATAAATTTTTTATCACAATTACTTTTTGAAATTCCAAATATAATTAAAATAGTTTAATAGTTATACAACTAAACTTGATTTCTGTGCTTGACATTATTTATATTTATTTAAAATTCCAAGAGCATAAATAAAAAATTTTCATAGCAAAATATTCAAGGAATTTTATTATAGGTATTAGAAAAAATAGTTGAAAAAAAAGTTCTCCTGAATTTGGAAAAAGATGTGTAATAAATGCCTTATATTAGGGAAGCATTAAATATATGTTCTTTTATTAATGTTAACTGTATTTATTAACAATAAAACGAATTATGTTTTGCCATTGCTTAAATGGATGATTGCTAAAAACAACTTAATTATCAACTTTCTCTAATTATTTTTTATTTACAACATTTTTTCCTCTTATTGAAGGGCTAATAATTAATAATAAGTTCAGAGTTTTAATAGAATTTTATTTGTAAGAGTAAATTAATTCTTATGTTGTAACATTATGATAAATCAAAGGGAAGTTTTTTTTTATTATTTATAGATGTTTCCAAAAATGAGTAATATGTGACTAACATGCCATTGAAGGGATTTAATGCTAGTAAATTATGTATATTTAAGTCAATTTTTATTCACACGAATAAATTGCGAAAGTATTAAATTATTTTCAATCAATAAAGTTTACAGGGTTCATTCTTAATTTTGATAATTTAAGTTGTCTTTTTTTACATTCTATGTGACTTTTGATTCATTGATTTTCATTATTTAAGAGTTCGTAGTTCCCCATATATTCCTAATAAAAAATGATTTTTCCTGACATTTCTAATCTTCGTGAGTGTTTATAACATTTCATTTTCTTCACATACAAATGTGGTTATTAAAATAATTGATTTCAATGCTCATCCAAATCAAATTTCAATGTTCATCCATTTTGCTATGGTGTATATTAACTAACTGATACTTGTTTTTTTAATTCAATGTTGCAAAAGACATTTTTTATATATCAATCTATTATGAGTTATTCAGTGCTTTATATTCTAAACAGTGCAATTCAGAAATTACAAATTGTATAATTTATTATTCTTAGGATTTATAAAATTCGGTATAGCACATGAGTCTTTTTCTAGCTTCTATTTTATCTTTTTTAAAAGTAGTCTGATGTATGTGTACTGTTCCAAAAATTGCCCTGATATATTTTTTTTTTTTTTTTTTTTTTTTTTTTTTTTTTNTTTTTTTTTTTTTTTTGGCCACTACACAACTTGCATTAACTCAAATGTTTGTAGTTATGCAAGTAATAATGTATTGCAATGTTTTTTAGCATAGATACTCTAAATACATTAAAGATAATGTATAAAAAGCAATGCTAAATGTATTTTAATGTGAAGTTCAGTATATAATTAGCGTAATTTATATGAATTGGAAGAAAAAAAAGATTTTTAATTTTATTTAAATGAAGTTTGTCATTGCATTTAAGTTTTGAATCATGCGTTACACTATTGATGTATGTCATGTTTATAATCACAATGTATGCTTAACGTAACATGCATATTATTTGTTATATTGTGAAATTGGCAAAGTAATGGGATACCTAAAACTGATGTAGTGTGGGTATCTAGATCCTGATTGTTTGTTGAAATGTGCATTTGATTACGTTAGCAACTGTTCTTTCCATTCTATTTTGAGTTAGCCAAGCCCGCCGAGTATCAATTCTCTTAGTGACGCATCCAAAATTCTTTCTGAAAGATTTCAATTCTTTCACTACATATATTTACAGAGAGACTTCACACAAAGACAGTCACATAGCCATGTGGAACATAGACAAACTAATTATTCATCGAAGTTACCAGGTGCACAAAACAAAAATGTATCACATAATTACAATAATATATATAAACAAATAATAAATCAGTTAAATTAAAGAAATAGATGAGGAAGAATTATGTTTAAATTAATTCAATGTGTGATATGACTCGGTATTTAATTAACTTAATGTTAATTGTCATTCTAACTTATGAAGAGAAACTTAACTCATCTTTAATACGCCATTTTGGTGATAAATATTAGCTGGCGCTGACATCATAGCTCACATGTGTGGGTATGGAAGGTCTTCTTCTTGAAGTGCAAATTCTCAATTGCCACTAATTACCACAAACTTTTGATATGCGTTATACAGCTGCTCCTATCTCTAAAAGCAAGGTTGTTGGACTTGATAAAAAACACCTTCTTTTCTGTCCCTAAGTTGTTTAGACTATTCAAAAGCAAACATTCTACTCACTGTATCTTTTCAATGACATTTCACGTCAGTTTTGCCTAGCCAGAATCAAAACTTGATGTTTATTTATTGCAATTTTTTGCAACAAGGTGATCTTAAAACTTGAATTTTATGAATCAGGGAAATGGTAGGGTAATGGTAATTTTAAAAATAAAATTTTTTATATTCTGATAGTATTTTGTAATACTTTTTTTTATTTAAGAGTTAGGCATAAATGAAAAATTTATCTTTGGAATTTATGCCATCAGTTACAAAAATAACGGACATTTTATGAAGAAAAAAATAAGTCAGGAAAAAAAAAATTCAGATTTTTATTTTATTTTATTTATTTTGTAATTGTTTGTGGCCAGTCTGCATTGTGGTTGCCTTCTCACATTGATTTCTTGAAATGCATCTTAGCACAGGCCTTGCATATAATTTGGAATGAACTCATTTTATGTTATTTGTTGGTATTTCAGGAAGCAGCTACCGTTGTAGATCACATTGGTGAGACAACTTATGAGAAGAGCAATGAAGATTCCTTGAGTTCTTTCATGGATGAGAAGGACATCTTGAGGACCCTGAATGAGACTCCTGACATCTCGAAGCTGGAAGCAATGGACATCGATGAGAACGAATCCAGTCTCATGATGCTTGGCAAGTCAGAGAAATCATTGGACAATCCTTACAATCTGGATTTTGCTTTGGAAAGGAATGAGGCAATTGTAAGTCTTAATTTGTTATTACTTTTTCAGGATGCGTAGCCTTTTTAAAAAGTGCTTATTTTTGATTTATGTTTTTTAGAAACCCTCAAAGGTGCTTTTTTTATTCGGGGTTTGTAAAAAGTGCTTAATTTATCTTTTAAAAGGAGACTTTTCTTTGCGGTGTTAATAGTCGTTCTAAATTACAAAAAAAATACATGATTTTTGCAATTTTCTCCTCAATATTTATCATAAACTAGTCATTTTATCATGATTATGTGAAGTTTTGAAAATGTTTTTGAATTTAATTGATTTTATGTTTATAAATTAAGAACTTTTAATAATAGAAAAAATAATTTTTAATACTGTACAGATCCTAATTATGATTTTTTTTCTTTGGAAAGTAATTAAAAATATTTTTTGAGTACTTAAAAGGTGCTTATTTTTTGTTGAAAATTCTGACTATGCTCTATGTTTTTTTTATCATTGAAATTTTAAGCACATTAGAGGATTGGCAAGAACCATGATATTTGCTTAAAAAAAAGTTTTTTTTTAATCTATGACAGGATAGACCATATTTGCTAGTTAGATTTCAAATGAAGAATAAATTGGTTAAGGTCAGGAAGCATAGAAAAAAAATCAGTTGTTCTAAATTACTCAGGGTAGAACAGGTCTTTCTTGACATCATTATTATAAAGTATGACATATTTTAAAAGTTTTTAAGTACTTGCATTCAAAATTAAGTTTCAGTCATTCTTATCCACATATTTTTTCTTCTGATATATGATAATTAGCTTATTTAAAATATCAAATAATTATTTAGTTGTTATGTCTCTGTATATAAAATCTTCTATGTCATTTAAATCAAAATTAAAAATAAATCAATTGATCTTGTTTCTAAAAAAAAAATCAAGGGATTCAAATAAAATGAGTTACACTGATATAAGTTTCTTTTTATACTAAAGGATACTATGTATAGAAAATGGAGGAGTATAAAATATAGGTATTTTTCCTCTGATGGATTAGCTAGCATCAAACCCAGGAAAAGAGAAGATTCTTCTGAGAAGGTAACTTTGATAATTTGATTTTATATTTAAAATATTAGGATTTTACTTTACTTTTTTTTAACTCAATATTAAACTGTATTAGCAGCAAAGCCTCTCATTTATATTTCAATCTAACTGTTTTGATAATTGCTGTTTTCATACATTCTAAGAGAATAATTATATTGAAAGTCGTGTATTCATTAACAAAATGAAGCGTTTTACTTTCAAGTCTGAAAAAAGGACACAAGTTTTTTTCAAGCAAATTTTATAACTCAATTTGTTGAATTATTTTTTTAATTCTCCCATTTTGTTGTTGAATAATGTTTTCGGATGACAAATTGTTCTACAACAGTAGTTTAAGCAAAATTTGGAATCCAAATACATGGTTTCAAAAATAGTCTTTTGTTGAAAAATATACATTTTTCAACAAAAGACTATTTTTGATTATTGTGTAATTAACTTTTTTTGCAACATTTTTAAAAAAAATTTCACTTGCTCCAAAATTAAACCCATTTGCTCCTAAACGTAATTATTAATTAAATGATTAATTAGTGTAGACAAATGCAAAAAAAATTCTTTCGTTAAAGAAACATCCTTTTTTCCATTGAATTTTAAATTCTTGACCCTTAAAATATTGGGTCACAATCTGTAAAATACTGTCATAAGAGTTGTCGAAAGACAATGTTAATTTTACCTATTTTGCTATTTTTCTGTAACTATTTATACAAATAAAAAAATATTGCATATTATAAAACTCATTTATCCCAATTTTTTTTCCTCACAAAACTTAATTTTTTCAGTTTATTCATTTTTAGCATTTAATTTAATAAAAATTAAGGAAAAAAGTTTCAAATTTTGAGGTAGTAAATTAATAATGAGATTTCTATATAATAGTTTCTAAGTGTTAAAATATAAAAGAAGGTCGCATTTCTTGAGGATTGATAATTCTCCAAATTATAGAGATTTTTTTTTGATTTCATAACTTAAAATATTGTTTGCATTATACAATTAGTATGTTTAAGTTTAACCCATCGAACCATTAAGATAGCATTACATGCAAGTCAAGTCATCAATTTGTAAGTTAATTCAGGTGTTCAATTTTTTATATTACTCTCTGTACATGCTTGTTGCATACATTATGGTTAAGTTGGTATTTGAATTTTATTATGCTACAATTCGTAACTGGCAGCCCCTTATTAGCATACAATTATTATTGTATTTTTCCCCTGTGAAGTATTATTTTAATGTGCTTATTAATATAGAAAAAATAGTTTCATTAAGACTGCTAGTTATGAAATTCTTATTAAATGTGAAGCATTGCTTTTTTAGAATTGGATAAGTATCTTTTTGTATATCACTCATTCACACATGTAAATATTTGTTAGGCTGGACGGCCATTTTACCATACAATCAAACCTAGTCAAATGCCCAAAGATGAGAGGAAGTGCATATTTTGTCATGGTGTTGGAGACGGTGATACCAATGGTGCAGCCAGGTAGTTTTTTTTTTTATTTGAATTTATTTGCGCAATAATATATTTCCAGCAGTTGTAGTTAATGATTTACTTTCTAGGTTACTTAATGTTGACGTGAACAAGTGGGTCCATCTGAACTGTGCTCTGTGGTCGTACGAAGTTTACGAAACCGTGAATGGGGCTTTGATGAATGTTGAAACCGCCTACAAGAGATCGAGGCACAACAATTGTACCTGTTGCCATAAACACGGAGCATCCGTTCGATGTTTCAAGACCAGGTGTCTGAACATATACCATTTTCCTTGTGCCAGAAAAGAACAATGCTCTTTTTACAAAGATAAGGTAAAGGTACTTTATTATTCTTAAGTTGAAGTATTTTCCCATGGCAGAATCGCGGCAACGTTGTCGCAGAACATTACAGAGTACTTGCAGAAAGATTTTTCTTTTGAAAAAAAATTTACTATTCTTTTCTACAGAAATTTACGCTTAATATTTGAATCATGCATTTAGATAATCACTTTCTATTTACGACAACAGTTTTGTAATGTTTCTATTGTATTTTCGGCAGTTATTGATATAGATTTTCACATGGATTTTAAATATCCCGATATATTTCAAACAATGTGGAAAATTCGAATCGTCTCTTTGAGTATTTACTTTTCGCTATTAATTTCTCCATAGTTTTTAAATCCGATATTTTTGATGCTATATTACTTATCACAACAACCTAATCTCGAGACGAAACGTGTATTCAAGAAGCCCAATTCGCGTAATTTTGTTATTTTTTTTTTTTTTTTTTGTAATTACTGCTACGGATTTTGTGATTTGTAATTATATATTTATAATCATTTACAAAATGAGAAGAAGGAAATAATATTTGTGTCGCCCTCAAAATGTGAGAATATGACCCATGATATTAAAATAAAAAATTATATAGTTTTTATGAAAAAAAAATATATAGTTTTTTTTGTAAATACAGCGCTTTTGTTATTTTTAGTTAGTAACGTATATGTTTATTATTAAAAGTATCTTGCAGAAAGATATTAGGGCTAGAGTGTTTTGTTGCAGATAGCTCGAAAATACTGCTACAGGAAGGTATTGTAGTCATTTATAATTTTTATTGTTGCAAGTTTTAATAAAATTTTTTTTGTAGACAATGCTGTGCCCTCATCATGCTCATCGTGGTAATATTGAGAACAAATTGGATTCCCTCGCCGTGTTCCGAAGAGTGTATATAAATAGAGAGGAACATAAACAGATTGCTAGGTAAATCATTTAATTGATTGCAATGATGGCATGGCATTATTCATTGCAATTTTTTTATGAATTTATAAGTTTGGCATTGAATCTTGTTATTTTAACTTTCATCATAATGGTGGGAGATAATGTTGTTCTGTGTTTTTTCAATATATAAAGAATTAGGTTCTGGATATTAGGCAATCTTTCAATTTAAAGAATATTAAAACATACTTCATAATACAATGCAATTCTGTGGTTCTTGAAAATTGTGACTAAAAGTGGATTAATTCCTTCATATTTATCTTTATTGGCATTTTATTCATGAAATACAAACTAATTTTAATTATTATCTTTATTTTTTTTTTAAAAATTTATAAACACAAGTTAAGATTTATAATTATTTTTGGACATAAAAGTTTAAATAAATTATGTTTTCAAAAACTTTTAAGGACATCATTTTTCATTTTATAGTCAGAGTTATTTATTTATTATTATTTTTTTTAAGGAATTATTAGATCAATCCTATCAGATATCAATAATAGATCAAATTTTTTTTTTTTCTGAAAGTTAATTGCATTCACACCTTTTAAGAGATATCGGTCCCCTTTTGTGGTTTTTTACGTTAAAATGTGTGGTCTTGTCTTCACAGTTATCATGCTATATGTTATTCATTTAAAATGACAGCCCTAGACCAGCATATTATTTTCAATGTATTTATCACCTATGAAATATTATTTTAAAGCATATTTTTTATTTTATATATATTAATAAAAAGGAAAAAAGTTGCGTTATTACCATTTTTTCTTGTTAGTTAACAGTTTCATGTTGAATTAAAACATGGCTTTGTTGAAATTAGTCCAGCATTTTTTTAGCTTAGCTTTGTGTTAATGTTTGTAATATTTTTGTGCTCTCACAATGTAATGACCTCTCATTATAATGTTTGCTTTTGTCTGGACCACGACTATAAATGTCATTAAATCGCGTGCCCATTGTTTATGGGCACGTTATTAATGTTGACCTTTCAATGTTTTTTTTTTTTGACATTGACCTTCCACATATATGTTAAGAGTCGTATGTTCTATTATTCTGAAAAATATTGTTATGTATATTAAATAAAAGGCAGATAACAAAAAAAGTTTTGCATGAATTCAGAAAATTTTCATAGTATTGACTTTGTCCACCTATTATTGTTCAAATTATAATTAACAGCAGTGATGCCTTATTACGTATGCTAATATGTTATTTTATGATTCTCCAACACGCATAAGTGCTCAATATATCATTCATACTGGAATTGGTTACATATAACAATATTAAAATCATTGTCTTAATATCTGTGTAAAATTGTTTGCATAAAAATTCATTTCCACATTTAGGTGAATAAAATTTTTAACATGTTGCAAAACTGTTCTTACAGTAGTTTACATAACAATTGTACAAAGTTGTTAGCATATTGTTGTAAGCATTCAGTAATCTAAATTCTTAACATTGGGAAAAATATCTGTAGCACCTATATTTTAACAGGGTCATCATGGGATAGTAAAACCTGGAATTGTCAGGGAATTTGATTTTTGAGAAGAAAAAAAGTCAAGGAAATGGTGGCCAAAAGCTTTAAAAATCTTGCAACAAACCTGAAAATAACCAATTTCAAAATTAACTGTAAAAATAAGTAGCCACTAATGTTTAAAGTAAATAAATCTGACATCTACTATTTATTATTTATTTTAAAAATTTTCTGCATTGTTAAAATTTTTCGATTTGTTAAACCAAGATAATTTTGAAATACACTTTTTGTTTAAAATCTTCTTAAATTTTAATTGATAAATAACTATTCCTAAATAAACATATTTACAATTCAGTACTACTATGTTTTCAAAACTAATCTTTTTGTAAAAATTAATTATTTTTTTTACAAGTAACAAATTTTACAGGTGAGCTATATGATTGTTTTCTGGTGTGACTCTGTTAATGAACTTAATTTTTTTCTGATTTTGAACAAAACTTTTGTGTATTATGTCACATTTGTGTATTATGTCATTTTAATGTAAAACCTTTACTTGGTGAAATTTTAATATAGTATTCAACATATTTTCTATCAAAAAGATTCATTGCTTATGAAATATAAAAATATTATCTTAACTCTTTGGTGACCAATCCAGAAGATTTCCACTCTTTGTAAACTATCAGTACACGACTGATGAGGGAGATTTTCTCATTTGGCAATAGTTACATACCTGACAACTTTTAATCCTTTCGAGGATTTTTCCTAGTCATAGTAAAATGAAATGTAAATTACAATTTTAGGCAGAAGCATGCATTGTATTTTGAGAAGGCTTCTGCGGACTACCACAACAGTATTCCATATTAATATATATACTTAATTTTTTTAAAAGTAGTGGTGATCAAAAAGATTATAAATTAAGTTTATAAATGCAAGGAATATATAGAAAGCATACATTTTACTACCACTTTAAATATAGAAATAAAATTTTACGCCAAATGCGTAAAAGTTGGCAAGTTTGTAGTTAGTTTTAGCTGTTAAAAAATATGTACAGTAGTTAGCTTAAACTGAAAGCAATTTGCTCATTTTTCAAAGTTTTAAAGATGAAATATTAAATGCATAGCAAAAATGTCATTTGGAAATATGTTGAAATTTTTCTGGAAAAGTAAAATTTCAGAAGGAACTCTGTTTTTAATATTTTTTTACTTAATGTTTGAGCATTTAGCAATGTATAAAGTTTTAAGTAAATTTCATCATTAATAACTTTATTGTATAAATAACTTATTTTATGAATTATTTCAGCATTATGCAAGATGACAAATACTTAATGCGCGTTGGAAGTCTGATTTTCTTAAATATTGGTCAACTACTACCTTCACAGTTGCAATCCTTTCACAACAATACTTGCATTTTCCCCGTATGTATTACTCAAGTTTTGTTATATGTTTCTTATGAATTTGTAATAATAAATTTTTAAGCGAAACTCTTAGTTTTAATTTTGAAAATTCATGTCAACATCATGTTGGTTTGTGTAAATTATATTTTGTTATTGTATTTGAATAGTATTTGTTATATTTTGTGTATTTAGATTTCTTTCATTTCAACTCGTTATAAATCATACAAACGTCGTCCTTGATGTTAATAAAAAAAAAATGTCTCCATTATTTATACTTATTCTAAAAAAGTTTGGACGAAAGTTTTGATTAGGATTTTTTTAATTAGAAAACTATAAAATGTTTAAAACTGAAAATGTTCTGTTCTTTTTAATGATAGTTTCTCAAAACTTGAGTATGTGGTGTACAAACTAAGCAAAAACTTCTATTTCTACAAGTTCAAAACAAAATTCTTAACAAATTTTTTTTTTCTTTCTTTAATTGTGTTTTAAAAACTTGCTTTATTAAAAAAAATGGCACAATTATCTACTTGTTATTAACTACTTGTTGGAAATGAGCTCCTGAAATTCCATATTAATTGGTTCTGTAGCTCCATAAATGCTGTCACCCAGTTTGAAATATGCAGCTTTGTGATATCTTTAATTTTATGTAGAAGTTTATTGTTTAAAAGTGTAAATCTTCGAAAATACCTCAACACATTCAGGATCAGGAGTCTACAGCATATGATAGGTAATATCCTTTTTGGGAATTTGAATTTGGAACATTTTATTTAAACTTTTAGAAGTTCATTGTAATTTTGAATAATATGTCGCAAAGTGTTGACCTTCAATATGAGCTTTCGGTTCTAAGTTTTTTTAAATTTTTTATTTATTTAAATTTGATCGTGGGTGTTTAAGCATAGTAGTAAACAACTGCACCTGTTTGGCTCTTTTGAGAGGGTTGGGTATGTGACATACTGCACGCTGGGTTTTTTGTTTGTATTTTAAGGGAGTGGGAAACGGATAAAAGAATTATTGGTTTATATGCATTTAAATTCATCATTGGCAGTTTGAGATTTAAATATTGGTATGCAAGTCTATAGAAGCCATATTTTTTTCAATTGAGTAAGGGAAAGATGTAAGATGAGAGATATAATTGGAGTAAGGATTTTATATAACCTTTGAATTGAAATTTGTCTTCGCTTTGAGCCTATAGGCCTAGGGAAGTGCTTCCTTTTGATAATCCTGAGCAGGTTTGAATATTTTTTGTTTTATAAACCTATGTTAGTCTCAGCCGATCACTTGGTCTAGTGGTTACTGTACTGGACTACGGGGCCAGCAATTGTGGGTTTGAATCCCACCGTAGGCATGGATGTAACTTACTCTCTCTATGTCTGTGTTCTATGTCTTTTCTTTTGTGTGAATGTAACCCACCCTATAAACGGGTTTGTGGTTGTATGACGTGAGCAACGCTACTCCACTGCCGCAGCTTAGCCACAGGTGCCCACTGGGTAAGAATAAGAGAGTAGCAATTCTGGCATTTCTGAAACCAATGGGAAATGTGCCCGCCATTGAAAAAAAAAAAAACTTATGTTAGTCTGAAGAAAGAAATCTCTTTTTACCCTATAATTTTTGCATAAGGAAAGTGAGTAACTTCTGAAACAAGTAGCTGTAGCAACTTTTTTTCCTAAGTGTCAATTAGATTTTTTTTTTATTTATATAAATCTTTGTATCGAAGTTTTAATTTTTTAAGAAATACTTGATTTCGAATCAAAATAATAGATGTCTCATGCATTCTTAATTGTAGGTTGGTTATAAAGTGATACGAATGTATTGGAGTATGAGGAAATTAGGTAGGAGGAGCCAGTACACGTGTCTTATAAACGATGTCAACGGTAAACCAGAATTTAATATTAGTGTGAAAGAAACAGATCAAAAAGAAATTTTTTTGAAAGATGTCAGCTCTAAAGGTTTGATTGTTTTCATATCTCTTATGTACCATAAAGTGTATAAAACTGATATTTTAGGGTTTATCAATACATTCTCATATAACACGGTGCATAGTGTTTTTAAAAAGTGCTTAAAGGTGCTTATTTTTTAAAAGCCTTTAAAGGTGCTTTTTTCATTGGGAGATTTTAAAAAGTGCTTAATTTTCCCTTTTTAAAAATGAAATTTTTTCCTTTACTATGTCCATTTTCCATTCTTTACCATGTATTATGCAAAGTATGCTTTTCGCATTGTTCTATTCATCGTTTTCACAATCCTTTCAACCACAATCTATTTTGGCGTCCAGTCAGCCAATAGCGTATGAAAGCGTCAATCATTTTACATGTTTGATGAAATACTTGGGAGTTCATATGTGCATCTACTGAGCTGGGTTCGGTGAGATTCTTGCACTCGCATGTGCAACTCTGCTGCATTTTGCAATATATTATCAATATCAGACTTCATTTTCCACCCACTTGTATCGAACCGTAAAATCTCTCGATCTTTATATAATGGCTAATATAATCAAGTAAACAGTTCTTTGTCAGAAACAAGTTATTTTATCAACATCATGTAAACTCTGAAAATTATTTTTTTTTGTTCATGTATATGGCGCTTAAAAATGTTTTTTTAGTGCTTAAAAGGTGCTTATTTTTTGTTAAATGATTTGGCTATGCACCCTGTCTAATCATTAATAAATATAGATATCTTTCGCTTAAAATTAATATAAGTTTTAACAGAATTAGAGCAGTGATGGCTCTGTGTTTAAGGCATTGATCTGTCATCGTGAAGAACTGAGGTGTGATACCCAGTGGCGTCTTGAAGCCCATCAACTTCAAACCAAGGTATACCAGCTACATAGCTGCCAACTCTACTGGATTTTGCCAGTTTCTCCTGGTCTACTGGTATAATAAAAATTCTCCTGGTTTTTGTACATTTTACAAAATTTCCTAAAATTGAGAAAGTTTCCTAAGAAACATCCCTATCGGAATAGAATTTTTACGTAATATAGCAAGTCTCATTTATAGTAATCAATCTAAAACTTTTTGTATCTTTTTTTTTTGTTCAAAAATTTTCAGTTATTTTTATCCGGAACTCTCTTTTTGTATTAATCAAAAATCTTTCAACTATCATCAATGAATTACTTGTCTATTACTATTTAAAATTATAAATTAGCACAAAAAAAACATTTCAATTTCATTTATTGTCAATCATTAAGGGAAAATATTGTAGACTATTTATAGTCATTAGTGTGATAAAGTTTTTTGTATTTTTATGACAATAAAAATCTCTAAAATTACCTGTACGTAAAATATTTATTATATTATGAAACAGTTATAGTTCATATTATTTCGTAAAATCTAATGGATTTTTTCCCTATACATGTTGGCAGCTAGTCTGGGAAGTAAAGGCGGCCTGTGTGCAATGTTGACTACATTGCCACAATCATTACAGTTATGACATTGTGAAGCTTTAATTTGCTAGCTCCCTGGCTTTCTTTGAGCTGTTGCAGGAATGTTTTACTTTTCAACAGTATTTTGCCTGTGAATTATTTATTCGTCCCTTATTTTACTGTAGTTACATGTAATATTTATTTATCATTTCTTCTTAAAAATTATTCTCTATTACTTTTCCATTCTGATTATTATTCAAAATTGAAGGTTTAAAACTAAAAGTGTTATTTCTTTAGTAAATTATAAAGCTTTACCTTACTACATTTTATTTTTTTGACATACATGTTTGGTCAACATTTTGCAATCATTAAATGGTAAATAGTTAAATTTACTTTCAAACTGTGTGCAAAACTGTGACCCAATAAAGGTTACAATATGTTTGCTATAATGAAAAGATATTTTATGAAAATTTCTTCAAGTAGCAGTGAGAGTTGTTATTACTTCTATACGATCTTTGTGATATTTTAGATACAGTTTTGAAAATTTTGACATTAAAAAAAAAATTAAAATCTAAACATTAGATTAATTTTGATGTGACCTTTTATTGTTATTTGGTTCTGAAATAATGTCTTTTTTTTATGTTGCTTTCAAACATATCTTCTCAGAAATAGTACTTTTAAGACTTACATACAGGGTCGGCAAGTTTTTGACACATGACGGTTTTTACCGGTTTATACCATGGTTTTTACCGTCATGTCAAAAACCCATAGTTTTGATGAAACTGTATTTTAATTTGAGTTTAACTGCTTATAATTTAAAATTAATTCATTTTTCGGCAATAAAATTATAAAAAAAAGTTGTTAAAAGGTATTTAAGAACAGATTTTTGCATTTTCCCAACATGATTATATCAAATCATACTATTTGAAGTAAAATATTAGGATTCTAAACAAAATTTTCAAGCATCATTTTGTTTGGCATATTACATAACTGAAGAATATCAAGTCATTCCTGACTTAGAGTTTGTTAGTAGTTACAAGTTTTGAAAGTTTTGTTTAGCTTATTTCTAATATTTAAGAAATGTCAAATTTTAAATTCTTTTTTTAGTTCTTGAATTTATTAATACGTAGTTCCAAGTTTTTTTGTTTGTTTATTTCTAACAATTAAGAAGTGCAAAATTTTGAATCCTTTGCAAATCAAGCTATAATGATAAAAGTTAAGTATCACTATTTTCAATAAGTATGTTACAATATTTCTGTATGAATGTATATCCTTCTATAAGAATATATGTATATAGTTGCAAAATCAATAGCAATCATTTACAACATTCATTTATAAAGGCAATTAAGTGAAAATAATATATTGTCCTCTATATGCCATAAAGTAAGGAAAACAGTAGGTTTTTGACGGTTTTTACCACTGTCATGTCAAAAACCAGTTTTTGATGGCAAAAACCCAACCTTGCTTACATACTATATAAAACATTTTTAAGATATGTTATAAAGTATTTTTACGAAAATTTTGGAGCTAACAGATACTTAATAAAATTTGATTTTAAAATAAGCCTGGAACTCTGAAAAATTCATTTAAACTTGCTTATTATTTTCAAAAGCTTATCTTGTCCAAATACACTTTGAAACATCTTTCCTTGTTCTTCTTGTTTACATGAGTTACAGTTTAGACTTTTAAGAAAACATTCATAATGTTAAACTATGTAAAAATAATGAAACCCATTGTTCACAAACTTGTAAATAATTGTAATTATTATTATAATTGATTAGAAAAATTAATAATAATTGCTTTAAGGTTTATAACAAAAATTCATATAGTACTCTTATATTCTTTCTTAACTAAGTTACTTTTTTTTTCTGTGTAATCAGGTGTTTGGCAAAAAGTGTTGTATCCTATAGAGAAAATGCGAAAACAGGCAAAGACCATTAAAATGTTTCCCGATTTCATCACTGGTGATGATTTGTTTGGATTGACTGAACCTGCTGTCTTAAGAATAATTGAATCAGTAAATATGCTTTTATAATATTGTCTGTAACTTTTTATTTTTAAATGTGTGCCTTTGTCAGCTTAATATTTGTTTATGTAATATGTATTGTGTTATGTAAATACTAGTTAATCACTCATCAAGGGATAAATTTTAATAATAAATTGTAATTCCTTCTGTTAATTAGTCATTTTTTAAGATACAGGGATTTACTTTTTGTTTTTAAATTTTAAAGTTATGTTATAAAATTTAATTTATTTTTATTGGTTATATAAAAATTATATTTGTAACATAGTACAGTAGGGAACCGATTATCCGGAACGATCGGGACCATCGCTATTCCGGATAACTGATTTCTCCGGTTTTCGGAATCGCTACAAAAAAACGTTTTTTTATTGTTAAACCCAACTAAAAAAAAAAAAAATTTGGAAATAATCTTAAAAAGAAGAAAAAACGATGAAGTAATACACTAATGATTATTTCCAAAATGATGGTAAGGTAAACATCTTTCAAAAAAGAAAGAAAAATCCTAAAATCTTATGAGGAAAAAAAAAATTCTTTTTTAAATGGCCGGAAAATTTATCGAATTTCGTTCCGGTTTTTTGGTTTTCCGGTTTTCTGATTTCCGGATAACGGGTTCTGTACTGTATAATAATAAAAAAAACTGATTTACAAGAACAGGGCTGATTGTGCTCCGGAAAAAATCCGGATTTCTGGATTTTTCGTTAACCGTGATCCGGAGATCGAAGATTCATATGTTTAAAAAAATCGGTGATCACAAAACATTTCAAAGGTGGAACTTAAAATTGCAGTTTATTTTATTTGTTTATAAGAGAGCTACTTTATAAGCTTCTATTCAAGATTAATATTCATTTTTTATCAGTAAATAGTTATTATAATCATAAACTCAAGAAAGAAAGACATATTTGTAAATTTCAATTGCTTCTCCAGCTCATCATAGGTATGTGTAAAATTTTAAATATATTTTAAGTAAACTAGGAAATATTGAGAACAAGGAAAAAACCTTGTTTAAATTTTTTTTCTCTAATTTTTCGGTTTAAACTTTTTTATTTATTAATTTTTTTTTTTACTCAAGAAATTTTCCGGGATTTCGACTGGGGCTCACAATTACCCCTGCAAGAATCCACATCTCTAAATTGACTACTTGTCTGTGTTAACCAGTGTTTTACATTCATAAAAAGTTTGGTTATACTTGAAAATAATAGTAGAGGTTTTATTTTTTTAAAGTCTTTTATGCGGCTAATGAAAAAAAAATGCTTTGTTTTAAGTTCTTTAGCAAGTTTAAAATGGAGATTATTTAAACTGAAGAGTTTATCAATGTGTGGGTACATCGTGGTATTTTATATTCCATTCATTTATTATGTTACAATAGTAGTGATTTTAGTAAAAATGTAGTTTGACCCCACCCTTGGCATTCTATTGAAAGTCACTAATTTCACACGTTATTATGGACCAAGATTAACTGTTTCAAATCGAAATAAACTGAACAAAGTAGATAAACAATGTTTTAAATTAGAAAATTAATAAATAATTATTATCGTCTAGGGCAGGGGTGGCGAACCTTTATACACCAACGTGCCGTTTTCTCTAAAAAATTGCTTAATGAGGTCATAGACGTGCCGTCAAATAATATTGACTTCGTGATTATTGGGAAAATAATATTGAAAACTATCAACTCAAAACTCTTCATTTACATTGAAAAAAAAATACATTTTGCAATGTCTCAATTATACAAGTAATTCAACTTAAAGTAACATCAATGGGACTTTTGTTGTCGCAGATTAGATGACCAATAACTTATATTAGGTTGTAAGATGTTAGTTTAAACAGGACCGTTGATTGCTAGTTTTTGCTAGTTATTTATTGTTATCTTGTTTTTTACGGTTATTAATTGTTTTTTAGTATTAATTTTTTTATTAGTAATTGTTTAATATTTTGTTTGTTTTTTGTGAATTTTAATTTAATTGTTTCATAGCGTAATAACATTTGTGTAATAACAATTGTGATCGGTGGAGTGCCCAAAATATTGTGTCGCCTGCCATTGGTTCGCCATCCCTGGTCTAGGATGAGGTTAAACTACCATTCAACTGATATATTACATTCCTGTTTGAGCTGTTCCTCTCTAGATATTCAGAGAACTTCTTTCTGAAAATTGGTTGAGATGCCTGTATTGTAATTGCCACTTGTTATACATTTACTCTATTTTTATCTTTGTTTACTTTACAGCTACCTGGTGTGGAAACACTGAATGATTACAATTTCCGCTATGGACGCTCACCTTTTCTTGAGCTTCCTTTGGCTATCAACCCAACTGGCTGTGCTCGGTCAGAGCCTAAATTACGCACTCACTTTAAAAGGTATTTATCACGGTTCTTAATCTCTTTCAATGCATTGTTAACTTAAACATTTTATAAAATATAATATCTATTTCCTTTTTTTAAAAAATTTTAATAACATTTTATTGTTTAGTACTTTGAAAATTAGTTTAAACGCATTAACTGCAGTGGAAGAATGTTAGATAACTGACATAATAAATTTGCATTGGTGTGCAAGAAATGCAATTTTGTTTTTATTACAGGGTTGCCACAGGCGACTAAAATGTGACTATTTTCGGCCTGACGCAACTAAAAAGGCAACTATTTCAGGAAAATGAGGCTTTTCTGTACTCCTAGCCATGTTTTTTTAAGCATAAATTGGGTTGCACAACCTGCCGGAGCTTCTAAATAAAAGAAAACAAATTCTTATGCAATCATTAATGTCTAAAATGCCAAGAATTTAATTTTCCACTACATTTAATTAAGTGTATTTTAATTTTCTTTCTTTCTCTAATTTATAATTTTGTTATTTTTGTGAATTGTTTTTTTCTTCTATCAACATTAGTTTTAATTATTTACTGTTTTCACCTTTTATCTAGGTGTGCATTTTTTGTTATGTGCATTATTTTTAATTGTAAAAAAAACTTCTTTTTATTAAAAAATAGATCATGGTTTATGACAGTTAAGTTAGTCAATAATATTTTAGTCATATTTTTTTATACATTTTTGTTTGTATGCAGGCAATTATTTTCGTAGTTTTTGGCAACTATTTTGGTGCTTTAGGCTACTACAAGCAACTGTTTTGCTCATTTTTTTCTCTTAATCCTTGTTGTAGGCCCCATACTCTCCTTCATTCAAGCACTACCACAAGAACATCATTTGTACATTCTGCATTTACTGGAATGGAAACTTCATCACCTTATGTCAAACAGTTTGTTCATTCCAAATCTTCACAGTACAGGAAGATGAAGATTGAATGGAGAAATAATGTGTACCTTGCACGCAGCCGTATACAGGTAAGTGGAATATACGAAGCATTTTTATACATGGTGCATAGCATTTTAAAAAAGTACTTAAAGGTGCTTTTTTCATTGGGAGTTTTTAAAAAGTGCTTAATTTTTCCCTTTCGAAAATTAGATTTTTTTCTTTACCATGTCAACTTTCCTCACTTATTGTGCAAAAGCGTGCTTTTCACATTGTTCTATTCAACGTTTTCACAATTCATTCGCAATCTATTTCGGCTTACCACCGATCCAAAGCGTATGAAAGTGCCAATCATTTTACATGTCTGGTGAAATACTTGGGAGTTCGCATGTGCATCTACTGAGTTGGGTCATAGCCACCGAGAAATAAGGCCGTCGAGATCATCAAGGTCTTTTAGTGACGTCACATTCTGTGGGGATATGTGATTAGCCGCCAATTTCAAATATTTGTCCTTCATTGAATAGCAGTGTTGTTTGTCCGTCGGATGTGTCCTTTTAAACGATTTAAAATAATCGTGTGTAGTTCCAAGATATAAAGGGAACTACAAAAATGTGCCTAAAGTATCAGTATTAAGGTTTCCGAAAAATGAGGAAATTTAAAAAAAAAATGGATTTATTCTACCAAACGAGACAGTTATCAAATAACCGTTAATAGTCGTGTAAGTGTTATTTATCTTTCATGTTTTAATATTCGTTTTTGCAGACTTAATAATAAGCTTTTTAATTAAATAATGAAATAAATTGTATTTAAGAATTACATTGCTTTAGGTGTTTCTTATTGTTAGCAAACATTAGAATATGAAACTAGCAAAACATTCGTACTTTTGCAAAACTCTTAGACAAATTTAAACATTATTTGTTGTGTTTAAATGTATATATAAACAAATATAAGATATCATTAAGAGTTAACATTTGTATTATTTAAAAAGAATCTTTAGTTTTATAGTTTTAAAAGAAAGAGAAATTAATAACAATGTTGATTGGCATTTGAAGCTTATTTATTCTTAACGATAGCTTACGATTATATGAGTAAAACTTCATAAATATTCATACTTGAAAAAAAGAAAGAGAAAAAAAACTCCGGTACATTAGATTATATTAATAAAAATGGAATTTAATTCATTGTTAGTAGCCTTTTTAAGTTTTGTATGTTATTATTTAAATGAATATTAATGAAACTGTTGTTCTTGCTTCATATGGTATTATTCTTTCGAATACAGATGAATCGTATTTGTGTTATCTTATGCTGATACCTTAAAAAATGTATTTTACTATTTTAACAAACATTTCGTACCAATTCAGGACAGTTCTATAAACTAATACATTTTATTTACTATGATGAATTTTGTTTTAAAACTCGCACTTGAAACTGTTTCGTTCTGTATCATTTTCGCCCTGATTTTGTGAAAGGCATGTGTGTGTGTGTGTGTCTATATATATATATATATATATATAGCCAGAACATTGTAATTTTCCCCACGAGGGGAACCAATCTAAAAATTTGCCGTTACTTGCTAGTGTGTATATTTTAGAAAATATAGACAACTTTTTAATTAATATTCAAAGTAGTTTGTTCATTTTAAAAAATCTTCTCTATTTTCTTAGAATGTGTTTTTTTCCCTATAATTATCCAATCAATATTTCCTCCTTGTAATATATTTTTGTACAAATCTGGCAACAAAAAAATTTTATTGANAAACTTTCTTTGAAAATATGTTAAAATAAAAAAGCCTTAGGGATTTAAAAATTTAGAATTTTCTCGACTTTTTTTAAAATTTGAAAAAAGTTAAGCAGTTTAATCATTTTTTGAAGATAAATTATTGATTATAACTTAAATGAGCATGTAAAGCATCCTCAAAATGAATGATTATACCTTTATTTTAAAAAATTGTTGCAAAGGTACTGTGACCCCTTAAATGATAAATTCTGCTTCCTTTAGATCTAAATAACTGCAAACAAAAGTGCAAATTTGAAAAATTATTGTTTTGAAATAATCCTGTAGCATAGAAAAAGGCGCCAGTGTTTCATGCTGTATTTCATAGCTATAAATGATTAAAATGCTAATTATAATATTTTCACTGATCTTGACCTAAATTAATACAAAATTAAAATAAAAAAGTATGAAAATTATGTTTAATAAAAATTCTGCATCAAATGATTAAGTTACTTTTATATTTCTTATATTCATGTCAAACAAACTAACATAAATGTAGTGTATGAGACTAATGATTTGCTAATATTTTTTGGTTAACTTGTAAGTTTTTAAGTAAATCTTGAGCTTATTTGGGCATATGTAGTTTATAATGTATTGTTCAAATCTAAATGTGACTTACAGGAAGTTTACAGAACTTAAAATAATAATCGTAGAGTATTAACTAAAATATTGCTAGTTTTAATTTTGAAGAAGAGTGATTTGTTTTGGTTAATCTTATCATTTGTTGTAGGGTCTTGGTTTGTATGCAGCTAAGGATTTAGAAAAGCACACTATGGTTATTGAATACATAGGGCACATTATTCGCAATGAAATATCAGACAGAAACGAGGCCAGATATGACGCTCAAGTAAGTAGTATTATTTCTATATTTTGAATAGACTTTTTAATACCCTGAGAATAATATTAAAAAAGACACTGTTGCTGGTTGTTTTATATGCAGAGTGTCTTAAATTTTAGTACGATTTTTAAAACTTAATAACGGAAAAAAGAAAAATTCTTGTAGTAAATTTATGTGAGAGGATATAAATTTTTTAATCCAAAGATTCTGCTCTTTGTGCATAAATGTTTCAACAGATGGTGTTGTAAATCGATTTTTTTTTAAATTTTTATTTAAATGAGCTGCTTCCCCTTTTTTGAGGGAAATGAGACGAGAATGGTTTGGAGAATTTCTTCTTGACAGGAAAAGATTCTGAAGTATTTCTTCTCACGCTAAGTTGAATGAGACTGATAGTTTAAAAGTTATAGGTTTTTATGCACTAAAAGTACAATTTTGTGCTAGTATCTATTTACTCATTTGACATAGTCTAAACAAGAGATAAATTATTTTCTGTGTATTTTGAAAGAGACTATACATGAGTCAATAGAATATACAATTTAAAATTTTCAGTGGTTTTTCCCACATGTATTTATGTATACTTTATGCAGTTCGATTTTTTGCACTAGGGGCTGTCTGAACATTTAAGGTATATTTTCATTAATTTATTCATGCTGAATGAAACAAAACAGAAATCTATTAGGGCTTTGTGATAAAATAAGAAGCATCCATTTGTATTAGCACTTATTGATGCATTTATATTGCTCTGCAGACACTTGAAGAATTGTTTTCAATGTGTTTCTTCTAACTTGATGGAACGAGACTAAACACAAAATGAAAGGGCAATTGTTTAAAAAGTTGCAATTGTTGCTTTTTGTTTGTTTAAAAGTACTATTTTTGAATTAAACTTATTATGAAGAAACTCTTATAACTTCAAAACTATTTATCCTCAATTTTATCTAATTCAATTCAGCATGAAAAATAATGTCGGGAAATGTATTTTACATGTCAGATAGTCTCTAGATAGCAAAGTAAAAAGCGTACAGGTCAAAAGTTGTACTTTTTTGTGTGCATAAAATCACTTGCAATTTCTGAACTATTTGTTGAACTTAGTCTCATTTAATTCAACATTAAAAAAATATGTAGGAAACAGTACCTCACTTATTTAGATTGCACTCTCAGATGTTACAGGTATAAAATTGATTTTTTTCTGCATGTAAATTATCAGGGTTGGTTTAATTCAATATAGAATAAAAATATATAAAGTAAACAATGCTTCTCTTGCCTGTGTAGAAAATATTCAGTTCTCCTTTAACTGCTTCCCTGATTGTCCCGAGTTAACTCGGTTAAATATTTAAACTCAGTTAGCTATTTAGCTCGGGTATGTATATATATTGCAAATATTTATAATCCCGTGTAAACTCGGTCATAGCAGAATTTGTCAATACATTTTGTTTTATCATGTTTTTATTCGACAGGAAGCAAAACAAAAAGTAATAATTATCTGCTGTGATTGGAAGTTTGCCAATATTTGTTTTCGAGTTTTGCTACGTGTGGGACTGCAGATGTGTTTTGTGCAATTGTATATACGATGGTTGATGCATTTACATAGAAAAAAAAGAGTAAAAAAAAATGGTGTTTGCGAGCGAAAGTGAAAGTTGATTTTTCAGATTATGAGGACTAATATTTAACTTTTTTCATTTGCCTGAGATAATTTGAGATAGTAAACTGATGGTAAATGTAATATTTTTTTACACATAAAAAAAACTAAAATTTCAACTTAGAACGTGTGTATTATGTTTTGTTTCAGTTCCTTGTATTTATTAATAAAATTTAAAAAAAGGTTGATTTTTTTTCTTTTTTTTTTCTTCAAAAAAATTGGTAACGGAAATGGTTAACATTAGATTGCCCAAGAAAGTCATTTTGACTGCTTTTTAATTTCAATTAGAAAAACAGTGATGTATATAATGACGCAATTTCTTAGAATTTTGTGCGACATATAATTTTATTTTAATGCTAATATTTACTAATAACTGTAAATAATATTAAAAATTAATTTTAAGCGGATTTCTTTACACATTAGTTATTCTTTCACAATTTAGTCATTTTAAATGCTTTTGGCCAATGTAGGTCTGTACTAAGTTTCAGTCTTCCTAGGGTGATACATGCCAGAGTAGTTTAGATGTATCATTTACAAGAGCAAAACGAAAATTTTTCTAAAGAAACGCAACTTCTTGTTTTGCTTTAATTACTGAACTCTTTGTATTTCAGAATCGAGGAGTGTACATGTTTAGGTTGGATGAAAACAGGGTAATTGATGCAACATTGAGTGGAGGTCTTGCGAGGTACATAAATCACTCTTGCAATCCAAACTGTGTGGCTGAAAATGTACAGATAGACAGAGAAAACAAAATTCTCATCATCACCAACAGGAGGATACCAAGAGGAGAAGAGGTAACTTATCTCATTAAAACAGTTGATTTTATTAATTAACATTTCAATCAATCAATACAATAAAAGAGGTTTACAGAATTTCTTCTTTTTAGAAAAATAGTAATTCTGAATACTATATAGTGAGATAAACTTTTCACATCTGTTGGTATATGAAAGTTTAGAGAAAGCTGTGTTCAGGTAACCGTTGCATTTTCATATGCTGGAAAAATGTTTGAAAACAAATGATTTCAGAACAGTGGTGATTGTATTCTGGGTTTATCATATCATCCCTCCAGGTCTAGAAGCTAGTAGCAAGGCATGTGGAATTTTTTCGCAGAATTCTGCGTATCTCAAGATCATTGATTTGCAGACTTTCACAAATCAGAACTTATAAATCTGGCGAAATTTTCACTGCAATTTAAAATTTAAAGTAAGAATTAAGTTCAACAATCTAAAATTTGAAACCTTCGCTGCTTCGGGTTTACGAGATATTTTCAAACACGTGACCCGTCTAGGTTTTTCTGAGAGGTACCTATATTGTAAAAATTTAGACATAATTTGTGAAAAATTAAAAATTATATGAAAAGATCTACACAAAAATCTGTATTTATCGTTTTGTAAGGGATGAAAAAAAGTATTTTGTAAAACTACCGTTTTTTTAAAGTTGAATTTGTGAAGGTACCGCTAAGCGGTAGTAAATTCGGCCTGTACAGACCCCTGCTCTACCACAATTATAATTTTTGGTTTGTCAGTTTTTAATGTTTGAAACTATACCGAAATCCTCTAATATTGAGATTCATATTCATGCAAATCGATTTTCGTGTTTAACTCATTTAAAAGTTATTTATTGGGAATCGTATTCATGAGATTTAAAAAGCGTACATTGCGATGAATATTCGAGCAATTTTAAAATCCGATGTGGCTATTCCTATTCACTCAATCTAAAAAATTATGTGCAGCGTGATTCGCATTTATGCAATTCAAAAATCCAATAATGCGATTTGTATTTTCGCTTTCTTAAAATCCAATATCGCTGCTCTTGTAAGATCTAAGTTTTTTCTTAAATTAGCTACTGTTAAATTGTGATATTCTTTATGGATAAGTAATTTAATTTAAAAAAAATTATATTAACTATGAATAGTATCTAAATTAATATCTTATCAAGTTTTACACGTAACATTTTCAGAGTTTTTCAGGGGGTGTCACAATCACCCCTGTCAGAATTACCTCCCCCCACTGCATAATTTTGAGTTTATCTTGCCATAATTTATTCATATTTTGATATCTTATAAAATAAAAAATTCCATTGTTTACTCTTGATTTACCTGAACACACTTTTCTCAAAATTGAGATGAAAGAGAATTTACCAGGAAAAATTTCTCCCCTGGTATAATGTTCTCATAACCTTATACATACATGCTATGGTTTCTCTGAAATTTGAATATATTACAAATATCACAATGAATACTTAAAAAATAAATTGTTTACAATGTAAGATGTTCTATTATTACCATCCTTAATATATACTTCGAAAGTCATAAAAAATTGTTATAGGAATTGATTTTAAAAAAAGTTGGCCAGAAAACAATAAGTTATATTAGCTATACCAGAAAGTAATTTTAGTTTTTTAGTGTGAAATTTACTTTTTTTTCTATATAATAAAATGAACTACAATCTGTCAAATATATATTCAGGGGTCTGTCTAGGTTTTTGTGAAAATTTAGACATAATTTGTGAAAAATTAAAAATTTAATAATAAAACATGGTTAAAATGTAGATTTATCTTTTTTTAAGGGATAAAAAAAATTTTTTTTAAGAAAAAGTATTTTGTGAAACTACCGTTTTTCCTAAAGTTGAATTTGTGAAACTACCGTTTTACCTAAAATTACATTTGTGAAGGTACAGCTAAACAGTAGTTAATTCGGCCTGGACAGACCCCTGATATTCCATTTTGCTTGATGACCTTTTGCCATCTTTGTGGCAAATTCGCACTCCCACACTCATAGAATTTCCTGTTCCTATCAGACCAGTAGCAAAATTTGTCTGCGACGTTGACTAGGTCAGGTACAGATTATTATAAAAATTCAGCTTCAATAGAAAAATTTGCAAATATGAGGTTCTTATTAAAAACTTTATATTGTTTAAATTTAAGTTGAATTTTATGAAATGGTGCTAAACAATGGCATAAATCAATATGCAGTTAGTTGTGTGCCCTGTAATTAAGTAACAGGAAACAATATCTTTGCTTTTTATTGTTAGGAGTGTTATCTTATTTCAGCTATTATTATTAGAGATATTTTAAAAAGTAGTTTACACAATTGTCCCCCATTTGTTTATATGCTTTTTAAAAACAAAAATAAATCATTAAAGAAAAATGATCTACAGCACCCACTGCAGTGCTGTAAGGTTCTGCTACTGTGCTTTACATAATAAAACTCAACCAACTATTATTTAACCAACTATTTGAGTCCATTGTTATTACTGAAGTTTATACCAGTACCCTATTTGCGCAAATTCACAAAGGCAGGACACTGGTTGAAAGAATGTGACTTAACGCATATTTTATATTCGCAAATTATGAGTAGTTTTTTCACAATTTCACAAAATGTCTGGACAGACCCCTGAGATTACAGAAGAGCTATTTTTCATGTTGCAAAAAGATCCAACATTTGTAATAGAAAAAAAATAGTTTTATTTTATTTGTGCTTACCTCTTATATTTTATGAGAAAGGGTTAGAGATCCTCTTGTATGGAAAATGCAACATTGGATTCAGTGTCTCATTATCTACACTTTTCTGGCTGTTAATCCTGTCCTGTAAAATATTTAGATTTCAGTAAAACACATCCAAACTATTCAATTGAAATCAATTGATTTGATCATGTAAATTGAAGTAATTTCTACAATGTAAAGCAGATAATGAAATTAGTAAATTGAATATTGCACTTAAAGAGGAAATTTTATTTTTATGCAATATTAATATTTTTATACAAATAAGCTTTACGGCACAATATATAGTACTACCTTGTTAAACTATTCTTGTTAACACCTTAACAATCTGTTAATTTTCAAGAAAACGCTCATAAAAGTGCCTACGTATACACGTATTTGATTAGTGCTGACATCTAGTTTAAAATAAACTATCTATATTTTACACACCAGATGGCAGTACCAGGATATTAAAAATATCCTGGTACTGCCATCTGGTGTGTAAAATGAGAAATAAAATGTTTTCTGGGCAAAAGAAATGAATTAGTCTTATGCTTATTGGCACGTTACTACTGAACACTCCAGCCCGTCAATATCACGGGAGCGAGAAATAGAGGGCGAAACCTCACCCTGTCATTTTCACGGGAACGAGAAGGAAGGGGTTAATGATTCATCGTTTACCAAAAATTAGTTTGTTAGTGTTTACTCGAATCTTTCAACACTAAGAACTACGAAATTTCGTTCCTTAGCTTATGTTCCCTTCTCATTTCAGTCATTTTTTTTTCTGGTTAAAGATGGGGGGTAGCTAAACTTTTCCTTCCCTCTGTGTTCTTATTGCACTTAGGGCAGTCTTTGAGAGAAAGTTCTTCAGATATATTTTTGGAGGAATTCAAAAAAGTGGTTTGTGGCTTAGAAGAACAAATTTAGAGCTTTATCACTCATATAATGAACCTGACATAATTAACTTTACTAAATGACTAAGGATAAAATGGGCATGCCACGTTATCGTCGGAATGGACAAAGACCGCACCACAAAAAAGTTTTCAATGCCAGACCAGTAGGCAGACGAAAAAGAGACAGGCCGAATTTAGATGAATAGATGGCCGAGAAAAATACTTTTTGGTTTTAATAACTTAGAACTGAAAACACTAGCAGAAAAAAGGTTAGCCTGGAAAAACTTCTTGGGAAGGCTAAGACCCACCCTGGGCTATCAGACCATAGATGATGATGACTTTGGACGGCAATGTATCCTTATAAATCTTTCATCCAGCGAGATATTTGGATCGAAAAGACTACCTTGATAGACCACCAGCATTATATTAGCTAGCTTTAAAACCACCTTATGTGACAGGATTTTGATAAACTCTGATCTATTTTTTTATCATATTGCTATTGGTTTATCTCATATTTTATCATCAGCTTTTAAAGTTTCAGGGAATTACTAATTGCTATTAAAATGTATGTGAAAAGTTTAAATTAAAAAAAAAACATTCTCAGAAATCATTGCGCTAATTCACATTGCTACAAACCAGCAGTCTTTAAATTTAGTTATGTGACTGTTAATGAAACAATAATTGTTTTTTTTTTCATATTTCTAGTTATCCTATGACTATAAATTTGATGTTGAAGATGATCAGCATAAAATACCATGTTTATGTGGAGCTCCCAACTGCAGAAAATGGATGAATTAAATTCTCACATTTTTTTTATCTGATTGTTGTAAATTATTGTTTTATAGTATGAAGAAGAAAAAAAATTGTAAATAAGATTTTTATATTAGACTTATATCTTTCACATAAATGCTGAGAAATTTTGGGGGGATTATTTTCTGTCATCTCCCAAACGGATTATCAAAAAGTGCTGGCAAGTGCTTGATTTTAAAGAAATAAATCAGACTTTATAATCATAGTTTTCATTACTTCAATCATCATAAATATTTATTTTCCTTGTTTTCAAATGAAGAAAAATATCTCGAATTTTATTGTATTTTTTGGCTTAATATAATTTTATTTATAAAAAAAAAATCCTATTATAAAATTTGTTCTCTTTTGTGTCTTTAATTGTGAATAATTTTATTATGCGGAATATTTTAAAAATTGCCACCATGATCATAAAAATGTGGATTTTGTATTATATTTTGTGGTTGTAATGATATTTTATATAAAGAATTCATACTTCGAATAATACTTATTCATTTTATTGTATTAAATATTTGAAAACTTTTCATGAACCTTTTCTTTATTTAAAAGTATTAAAGTTGAAGTGATTTTAAGCTGAATTTTGATTATTTTAAAATTTTTCTAAGATATTATAAATCTAAATATACGGTTTTCTGCTAGTTTTTATGTATTAATATCATTATTTCGAAATAATTTTTCTTTTTATAGAAATCATATTTCTTATTGTATTTTTATAATCTGAACATTTTAAAAGTGAAAAAAAAGTTGCATCCATAATAATAAAAACAAAGAAGTGAAAAATTGTTTTATTTTGTGTGCAATTATGTTTTTGAGCAGAAAATCTGTTATTGATTTTTAATTCTATTTTATGTAATTTTTTTTTGTTGGAAATGTGTAGATTATTTTTTAAAGAAAAGAAGAAAAAAATGATTTATAAAGCTTTGTTGGTTTTGAAAACAGCAATTTGCTATTTTTTTATCCTTGTTTCAATCGGAAGCAAATTTAGAAAATTCTTCAGATATATATTCTAAACAAGATCAACAGATATTTGTGTTTTTGAAAATTAAAATATTCCTTAATATTTTATGATTGCAGGTGACTTATTTTTTTACTTAACTGTGGCCAACTGTAAGCTATAAAATTTATTTAATATATTTAAGGAAAAAGGCTTTGAATCTTTTATTTTTCTATTGTTTGTAATGTTTTTTAAACTGTGTTCAGAATCTTTCATTAAATATCTATATCATTTTGAAATTTAACATTCTTTCATGTACACATTTTTAGCATAAAATGTAAATCCAATCAAACAGTTTTATCAGAAATTTAAAATTATCTTAAAGTTTTCTTGTTTTTAAAATAAATAATTTTAATAAAATTCTTTTTAGATTTAATTCTTTCTCAGTTTTTGTTATTTTGTTTGCAAATTGATAAAATTTGAAAATTAAAAGAATGTTTTATAAATTTTGATCAAAATTTTTAATTGAAGAAATTCATTTAAGTATTTCTCATTTACGTTATGTTCTTATTTAATCATTTTTGTGAAATTTTAATGCAATTTTTGACTGCAAATTATTATTCTTAACTGTAAGAAATTCAGTGTTTCCTTAATTAATAAAGACTTGCTTTGCTGTGCCTGTATTTAGTGTTATAAATTTTTTAAACCCTATTCATATTTTTTCCATTTGTTTTATCTTTTTCTTTTTTCAATTGAAACATATGTCTTTATGTATCAATTCAGACGCACAATAGTTGTTTAATAATCTTGTTCAAAAAGATTATTTATCACTATTCAGTATAAATTTTTGTGAAACTTCAAAAATTTTTTGTTGTTACCTACGTTTTAAAGATTTGCAGATGTCTTTATGCCAATTTTAATGTAATGGAACTAGTTCATCAGAATATTTTATTTAGCATCTTAATTTTTTTTTAAAATTAGTATATTTTCAAATTTGGGAAATAAATTGCTATTTTTTTAATAAATCTCCAATAATCAAAGGCCTTAAAGAAAACAGGTCATGTGTCAGACTAAATTTGTTGATGGTAGATCTATTGAGGGAGAATGCGTGTTTTGTCCATAAAAATGACATAAGTTGTGTAAAAAATTTTATTTTAGCATTAATGACTTAAATCATTCATTATGTAATTATTTTAAAATGTCATTTTAAACATTGTTTAAAAACAAAATCGCTCTGTAAGATTTTATTTAGATTGTTTCCTAATCATTACCTTACTTATATACATATTTTCAGAATTCTTAACAAAGAAGCGCCCCATTAGGGATCATTAAATGTGGAAAATACACAATATTTTCTAAACCTGACAAATCAATTTTGAGGTAGGATTAAAAACTTTAAAACCAGTTGAATAGCTGGAGGAAATTTAGAAGAGGTAAAAGGCTACTATTAGAAGCCTTTTCAAATTTCATCCGAAAAAGAAAAAGATTTTGATGTTTTTAAACCCTCTTTCGTCAACAACAATTTTTCCCCAGGATCAGAAGCGAATTTATTTATGTATTTTAATTTTTTAGGGATTAGTTTTTAATAATTATATACCAAATAATTTTAACCACTTTAGTTAGATATTTTAATTGTTTTAGTTATAGCATTGTTCTTAAATATTGTTAAGCATTATTTATGCATTTTATTAGAGTTTTGATCAATAAATGTAGAAAGAAAAATTTTATTTAAATTAAAAAAATTCCTAGTTTTTAAATTTTTTTTTCGTCTAAAAATTACGTCGTATAAAATTATTAATGATAACTAATTATATCAAAATGGATGTGAAACTTTTTTGAGATATTAGTGACAAAAATGCAATCTCCCTCTATAGAATTATCATTGCTGTGAAGAAATTTTAGACCATTTAAACTAAAAATTTCTGCTACTTGTTTTAGTTCCATATTCTATTTAATCATTGATTCGAAGAAAAAAAAAGAAGATAAATCACTGCGGTGGACCAGGAGGGTCATGGAATTTATGCTCCATAATTTTGACTAACTGTGGCAATGTAGCTTATCACCCATTGATCAAAAGCTACAAACCAACTACTGAAATCAAACCCCGATTTTAATCATAGATTTTTAAATTTCTATGAATTTATTTAACATTTTTTTAAAAATATGGTAAACAGAAATTTATCTTAGTTACCGCTTTTTTCGAATATTGTGCTTATATCATTAAAAGTTTTTATTAAGGTGGTACCAAACAAATTTGAACTGTTAATTGAATAAAAAATGTATAGTTCTTTTTTAATAAAATTAATTTTTCTTACTCGAAGTGTTCATATTCAAATTTTTTTTTTCAGTTTTTAGACTTTATGTTCAAGTTTTTGTTAAATTTTTGGCATTACACGCAAGTTGTTTTGTAATTTTGTTTATAATGTAAATTATTGTTGTATTTTGAATAAATTATAATTTTTGTCCTCTATGTTTTCCTCGTTTATTTTTATATACTTTTCATAACTCTTTCATATGTTACATTTGTTTGTATTTTTCATATTAAGAAAATGTATTTCATTTTTTTTAAAATTATTTATTTCAGGAATCATAAAGAAAACAATGCTTATTTATCAATTTTTTGTTTAAACAGTTTCGGAAGGTCTTATAATAAACATTATACATTAAGGACAGGTAAAGGAGAGAAAAGAATTAGTTAAACTAATAAAGTTAGCTGTAACAGTTATCTTTATATATATATATATGTTTGTGTGCATGATTGCAACCTGTCACAATTCGATTTATTTTTCAAATATGAATTATATTGTAAGTTTTATAGTATTCTATGCCAAGAACAAGATTTCATTTATATATTAATAAAACGTGAGCCCCGCCGGCGATGTTTTGGGTGTTCCACTTCATAAGTTTTATTTTTCTGCGCTAAAACTATAACACTTAGAACTGAATTTGCTAAGGATGTAAAGAAAAGTATTCAGTATGAAGCAATGGAATAAAAAAATTAAATTTGATATTTATTTATTAACTGTAAAACTTGTTGGAAAAAATACAATACAGAACGCTCTGCAATCTGCAGAAATGCATCTACAAAGTTGAAATTTAAAATGCTGAAGGGGTTGCATTTGACAATAAATTTAACACGGGGTTATGTTCGAAAATTATTGCAATTTTAAGCGAATTTTTTCTTCTCCCCCCCCCCTTTACCTTACATTTTGCTTTGGTACACGAAATCCATAAGACTTGAAATTACGAAAATGTACCTGGAATAAAATTGATTTGATTGAAATTTTAACTGTTCGCAATGCGAACTGTTGTATATAAGTTTATCGATTGTTAACAAGTAGAATTTCTTATTGTGTCGCACATCCTGTTATCCTAAGTTGAAATTTTTTTTTATGGTGCGTAGCCTTTTTAAAAAGTGCTTAAAGTTGCTTATTTTCGATTTTCGTTATTTAAAAGCCCTATGTGCATTTTTCATGGAGTGTTTTTTAAAAGTGCTTCATTTCCCTGTCAATTTTCGCCAGGTATTATACAAAAGCGCGCTTTTCACATTGTTTTATTCAACGTTTTCACAATTCATTTCGGCGTACCGTCGGTCCATAGCGTAGGAAAGCGCCTATCATTTTACATTGTTAAAGGAAATACTTGCCGAGTCCACTTGTGCAACTTCTGAGCTGGGTTCGGTGAGATTATTGCACTCTCAGGTTCAACTCTGCTGCATTTTGCAAGATATTCTAAATGTCAGGCTTCATTTTCCACCCTCTGATATCGAACCGAAAAATCTCGGTCATTTTATAACGGCTAATATAATCAAGAAAAGAGTTATTTTCTCATGATCACGTAAAAGTCTCTGAAAATTATTTTGCATTTTGTCAATGCATATAGTATTTAAAAATATTTTTCGAGGGCATGAGAAGTACTTAAAAGGTGCTTATTTCTTGTTGAAAGATTTGGCTACGCACCCTGTCAAATATAGTTGGTGTCTTTTCAAATCCAGCTATCCTTTCCTATTGTAACGGATTAACGTAATTACAAAGAGCTACAGAAAAATTTTAATAATTTGTATTTTATTAGCAAAATAATATTTTTTCTATCGACCGTTTAAGAGGATGTCATACCGCGGAAAATTTTCCTCCCAAATTCTCCTTCATTACTAATTTAAGGTGTAGAAAAAGTGAGTTTCGGACAAACATAGAGTAAGCCATAAAGTTTCAAAAACTGAAAAGAAAATTTTAAACAGAGTTGCCACAGACTACTAAAATGTAATTATTTTCGGCATGAGGCGACTATGGCAACTTTTTTTTTGCCTGAAAGGGCTAAAAAAGCAACTACAGTACAGAACCCGTTATCCGGAAAACCAAAAAACCGGAACGAAATTCGATTAGTTTTCCCTCCATTTTTTAAAAAAGAAAATTTTTTCCTCATAAGATTTTAGGATTTTTCGTTCTTTTTTGAAAGATGTTTACCTTACCATCATTTTGGAAATAGTCATTAGTGTATTACTTCATCGTTTTTTCTTCTTTTTAAGATTATTTCCAAATATTTTTTTTTCAGTTGGGTTTAACAATAAAAAAACGGCTTTTTGTAGCGATTCAGAAAACCAGAAAAATAAGTTATCCGGAATAGCGATGGTCCCGATCATTCCGGATAATCGGTTCCCTACTGTATTTTCAGGAAAAGCAGACTTTTCTGTACTCATAGCAATGTTTTTTAGCATCAATTCGGTTGAAAACTTGCGGCCACGAGGAGCTTCTGAACACACTAAATTTTGCTTTCTTAAAAAAATAAAAATTGTTAATTGCAAATTTGAGTCATCACTCTTTAATTCTTTCAATTTGCACAGGCTCCATTGTAAACCTATTTCGTTTCACAATCGACTTTTTAATGGTTAATGCTACGAAATTTCGCCTTATTTTAAAAAAACCCAATTTTTAATATATTACGTTACGTGAATTTCGAATTTGAGTAATCACTTTTCATATATATATGCTAAATCGATTATTGATAAAAGGGAAATTTTTTTAGAAAAAGTACGTTTTTTTAATGGAAAAGTATTTTTTAGAATGAATTCTAGTAATTAAAAGTATTTAATTTTCTGCAAATATACTAATTTTTTTTAATACAAAAATTTAGTGCTAGAACACTAACGTTTATATAAAAATTATCACATTTGCCACCAACATGACTAAAGGGATCATGGTATATGACAATTAAGTCATTTAATAAAATTGTAGTTATATATTTATGAATATTTGTTCTTATTTAGGCAACTATTTTAATGCTTCAGGCAACTAAAAGCAACCATTTTATTTAATTTTTTTTCTGTGGCAACCCTGAATATGCAATGGTAAAGTTCTCTTCTAATAATTTGTTTGCATTTTAATATTTTGAAGTATTTTTTCGGTAATTGAAGATTCAGGACTTACACTAGGTTTATCTGAACTTACTTTTTTAAATTTTAAACTTGTAATGAAGGAGAAAGAGAATTTGCAATTACGGCGTCCTTGTAAGAGAAAAACAATGACGAAAGAAGAAGCACGGGGTTTACAGGCGGTGCGAACAATGCGCGGAGCTTCCAAGTTGAAGAAGAATCGGAATTTATTATTGTAAATAATGTTTTTGAAATTCAAGCACAAAAGTGTATTCTTTTTGAGAAAAGTACATCTTTCTTGACACTCAATAAAGAAAATATGGAAATAAATAAGTTTGGCAATTTAATGTTCGTTTTGAATTTTTTTTTTTTTTTTTTTGCCTAAATCAAACTTTATCCAAAAATTTTTTTAGCCTTTTTATGAAACTCACATTCCCAAGGATAATTCTTTGAGAAAAATAATCATTTAATGCCACAATAATAATATGTTGTATTCTCGAAACCCAAACATGTATTGTTAAACAATTATAACTGAGATACTGTTCAATCTATTACAAGCCTGAGATTTCGTAACCTAGATCTCCGCCTGAATTTATCAATTCAGATATTCTGAGAACTGCTTTGCGAACTATTCATATTGCATCTTAACGAAGTTTGGATCATAGATCAAAAATTACTCTGGGTTTTACACTTTTAACTATGCTGACACCCCCCCCCCCCAAAAAAAAAGCTCAGAACCAAATATGCTCTAAAAAGTGAAAAAAAAAATTTTTTTTTTCTTAAATAGTGTTCTAAACAGTAGAGTAAAGAAACATCAGAATAAGTACTTATAAATATATAATAGTTAACTATAAGTCTAAATGCAGCAATGATATTTTTATTTTTTAAAGCAACACGAAAAATAATTATGCATTAAATAGAAAAAAATTGGCTTACGATAAACTTACATTAATTGAGTTTATAAACAAAAAATTCTACCAACATAGCCTGCAGATATCGTTTTCAACATTGCCCATCAATCAATTTTTCCATTCGAAAAATTGCTGTCCAAGTCATCGCTTACTAATTTCTAGGAGCATTTCATGAAACGTTTAAATAGGTGGACAGCATTTTTTCTTGGGAAGCATCAGTAATATTAAATGGTGGTACGCGGTGATTTTTACCGAAAAAATTCTTTTTTTTTTTCACTTCGAAAAATATTTGACATAACAAGGTTATAAGATGAAACTCTTTGACATAGGAATCAAATTAACAATAGATGGATAGATGTAATGCCAAAGGGGAGAAGTAATTTTTTTTTGATATAGCAAGGTTTTCGAGAAATCAAGATTGTACTGTAACCCTAAATAACTTTAATAACAAACTAATTTCCAACCTTAGCAGTTCAAAGGGGTGACTTCAAATAATGTTCTAATTGAATAACGCTACCTATTATAATTAAGTTTCAGAATCAGACACAAAACCGTACTTTCTGTAAACATACTGTCCCGCAGTGGACTGATCATAAAGACACGGTTCCCCGCAGATCACCGTGACTGTGGTCAGTGTGCGGGTGGGTGGCCACTTTGATCAGTCTGAGTAGGGACGGAGGGTG